TCCAGATGAGTAAATTAACATAATATCAAACTTGATCAATTACACATAAGGCGAACAAATAATTTTATCATTGGAATGGTTCCTATTAGACTTACTTACTTTACTTCGGCTATCTCCTACGGGAGGATGAGCCGGCTTCATGAACCATGAAGTTTCATGGGAATTGGGTACGAGTGATGTCCCCAGCATCGCTCGGCCTTTTGTTTGAGAGTGCAGCTCTAGCCTTTACACAACCAAGTGTGACCTACAAGGCAGTAGGAGTGGAGTAGGGAGTCCACTATCCATTGGCAGCCGGTGACCGGAGTCCGGTTCATTCGCCTTTTTGAATGGGGCCAGTCATCCAGGGCATCCAATAAGCCCTTTGTCCATACGTCTGCCAGCGAGCTTCATACGCCAGTCGTTGGAGGTTTGGAATCAGGGTTTAGCCATCTCCCCTAGACTGTCATCCAATGGACAGTCAACCCGGTGAAGAGCGCCGGGCATCCGCTTTTGCCCTCTCACTTTGGTGAAAAACACCTCCGCCACGTGAAGGCAGTGAGTAGGACTTCCTCAGGAGAGGCTATGTAAGACGCCCGGTCATATGGGAGCATTTCAAGAGGTGTACGGAGGGGTGGCCAACCCGCAGCGCAAGACAACCACCCCCGACCATCCTGAGGCTTTGGAGGCCCTATTAGACGGTTGGAGGCAATCTGCCAGAGGAAGCCTTTGACTTAGGTCTCGTGCTAGCTGGCTCTCATCAGTAAGGCGTATCTGCAGCCTTGAAAGAATTCATATCCCTTCTGATATTCGAACCCGCGTCACTCGATGAGTACTGCAGTCAGAGACGTTACCGCTGAGATATTCGGGCTCCCGATTCACTTCCTTCCTCCAACCATCTAACATCAACAATTCAAAGTGCATCGTGATGGCCAAGCTACCTAGAATGGTGGCCACATTCCACACCTGACTGATAGAATTTTAGTCTGCACCAAACAAAGGACTAGCTAGACACATCACACTAGTTACTAGTGTCCAATTGAACGGGTCATTGTTAAAACCTTACTCAGAGAAACACAACAATAAGTGTATTCGTAACACTCTCAGCTACATTATGAAGTCATTGTTGAAGATGTTGTCTAAAAGGGACAATGAATGAAAACAATGCAATCGATGTATCCAAATCAGCGAAAGTTAAAAATCTTCTCCATAACTTCTGAGCTTCAGAATTGTGAGTGTATTGTAGACAATATTAGTCTAAGAAGGTGTACATAGCTGCCTGTTATAAAGACTACTGTGAATAAGCTGTACTCATGACTTCTAACAAATACGAAATCTTGACGTTGGTTGAAGGCAATCGGCAGGAAGTCTCATCCAATCTAGGTTTTGGGGCTTGTCAGCGCTAGTCAGTCCCCTCTGAAATTCGAACCCGTGAAACCATACCAAGGAGTAGGCGCATGACATTGTTGGTTACGCAGGCCTACGTAAGTATGCAATGTATACAAACAGATTCCTGTTGTGTTTCTTTTTACTCAACTATCGAACATCAAAGTACCGATGTGAATTAACTTTGGATCAGCGGTTACACACACACACACACACACATTTAATATATCACCGATAAAATCCAATCAATACTTTCTTATAAAACTAGAAATGTAATAATAGAGATTTATAGAGCTGGATGATTTAACTGTGAAGCTTCTGTCGTCCTTATACACACAATATTTCTTCAGCTCAATCTTTAATATTGAAGTCAACTTTATTCAAATTCTCTGCTGAGTGAATGATAGATAATTGTATATTTCCTAGTATCGATCATTTTTATTGATTTGTAGTTTGAAATTTCTTATCATTTTGGTTTATTCTGTATTAGTTGGTAAATTTAACTTATACTAATGTTCAAGTATTGGTTTTGTTTGATTGTATGGAGGATTTCATCATGAGCTGACATCAGTTAGAGAACCACTGGAAAAGCTGGGAGTACTGAACAGCTGTTTCGTCCAACTAGTTTGGAACTCTTCATCAGTACGCACCCATGGGGGTTCGAACCCAAGGCCTTCTGGTTACAAGGCTCTGATGTCAGCTCATGATGAAATCCTCCATGCAATCAAACAAAATCCCTACAAAACTAACACTTGAAAACTAATCTGATGCTCACTAGTGACTGGCCCTATTCAGACAGTTAACCTGGGGTTCTAGTGGGAAGCCTTGACCAATAGGGTAAAGTAACTCATCGAAGAAGACACTGCGAAATGGTCACGCTGTGTCGTGAATTGGCAGAAGTCAGAATTCAAGGACCATTGGATCGGATCGCAGTGACTCAGTGGTCTACGAGCTCGCCTTGTAACCAGAAGGTACTGGGTTCGAACCCTCTCGGTGGGTGCGTACTGATGAAGAGTCCCAAACTAGGACGATATGAACAGCTGCTCAGTACTCCCAGATTTTCCAGTGGTCTTCTAACTAATGTCACTTCATGATGAAATCCTTTATACTGTGTTTGTTAATCGCTGATTCATATGAGTACTAGGCTTCTAAAAATTCCCTGACATTACTAGCGATTCCTCTGTTTAAAATTTGTATATTCTCCCAATCACAAATGCGTGTCCATAATTGTCGTCTACATGTATCAATTTCATAGAATACACACATATCTTGTCTTTCCACACAGCTAATTTTATGATCTTAGATTCTGAGTTGGAGAAGACTCCCACACTAATTAACTAACCGGCCAATAAAGTGTTTCTCACAGCTTATGCAAGCTATTTTGCAGTTGGCATTGATTTTATGTTTCTTCACTGTTAAATTTTTTAATCTGCACAATACTGAATGAAGTGAATGTGTGTTGGTTTGCGTACTGGATCTCTTTTGGATGGATTTACTATCCTAGCCGTAGGATGGATTTGAAATAGACACAGCACACAAGTCGTTACAATAACCTCATTCAACGTTGTGCAAACACCAAAGGGGATTCAACCGCTAAAAAAGGACAAAATCAACACAACATCTACAAAGTAAATTGCATCAACTGTGATAAACACACTACATTAGCCGGTCAAAGTGTCAGTCCTCTTCAACTCAGAATCCAAGAAAATAGATTACCTGTATGGAAAGACACAATATGTGTATTCTTTGACATTGTTAAGTGTAGACGAAAATTATGGACACCCATTCGATTGGAAAGACAAAGCATACCACCTTCATCAATCTGAAATCAGTTTGGTAGTCTTCTGCACTCAGCACCAAAAACAAAATTCGGATTTTCAATACAAATGTTAAGTCTGTCAGTGTTTCTATATGCATCAGAGACTTGACACGCCAGGCACAAAGCATTTCCAACAAGCTACTGCAGAATCCTATCAACAGCTGTCTTCACTAGCTCCATAATAAAGATCAGATGGCCAATCAGAAAGAATTAGCAACAAGGAAATCTGCGAACGACCCAATTAAGAAGCTATTGTTGAACATCATACATGTAGAAGAAAATGGAGATACATCAGGCAAATGGTGAGGAAACCATTGGGTGACATCGCACACCAGGCAGCCCTTCGATTGGAACCCGAATAGGAAATGACTAGTTGGACGTCACTTCAAGTGTATCATGGAAGACATCATACGAAGAGGCGATAAGAGACTATGAGCAATCGTGGGGTCAGCTAAAAAGGATCGCGGAGAATAGGACAAAGTGGAGATGTACTGCTGAAATCCCAGTCCTACATATTCCACCCAGAACCTAAGGGAACAATAATATAATATTTATAGTAATTTGCACAAAATGGAAAACTTACAACCGAAAACCGAGAAACTGGTCGAAGAAGCAGCCGGCAAAGACAGGACTCCAGGTAAACATAGACAACACGAAGGTTATGAAAATAACCAACCAACAACAACAGCAGCAACATCCAGTCAACAACAGTCAATCACCATCAACGGGCGGGGTTTGAAAGAGGTTACTTCATTCACTTCACTTATCTAGGGAGCATTGTCTCAACTACAGGCAGTCAACACGGACGAGGATGTCAAATCAAGCGAGAATCGAGAAGGCGAGCGAGAAACACATTCATCAACCTGAAACCAATCTGGAAATCTTCGTCACTCAGCCAGCATCAATAACAAAAGTCGGTCGGATCTTCAATACAAATCTCAAGTCACTTCTTCTATACGGAATGGGTCAGAAACTTGGCGGGCGGGTCACAAAGAATATTTCCAACAGCCTGTTGCAGACCTTTATCAGCCAACAACTGTCTTTGCTGGATCTATACTGAAGATCAGATGGCCGGGCCGGAAAGAATCACCAAAAAGAAACTATGGGACGAAACATAACAAGAACCAATCGCCTAATAACAAAAAATATGCAGGAGAAAGTGGAGACACTCAGTGGACACTTGTGGCTGAGGAGGCCGGCCGCTGGGTGACATCGCGCGCGCGTCAGGCCATCGCTCGAGTAGAACTCGAAATGGAAGCGGCGAGTGGGACGTCAATGCAAGGGTAACATTGAGGAGATCGTGTGAAGAGGAGTTGAAAGAGTATGGACTAAGATGGATGCAGGTGAAAAGTACAGCAGAAGACAGAAGCAAGTGGAGACGTGCAGTTGAAGCCCAAGGGAACAATAATAATAATATAATATATAATAATTTGTCTGAGAAAATTTAGAAATTTTTTGAACAGCGGACAATTCAAATACACCAGGAAATGCCTAGAAGCTTGCCATACTCAACGGGAATCAGCGATTAACAGACACATTGCTATATATCAATCAAATTTACCAACTAAAATACGAGAGAGAGAGAGAGAGAGAAAATACCACATGACAAGGAAGTTCAAATTCCGAATCAATAAAATATCAGCGATCAATATAAAGGTGATATAAACTAACAACAATCACAACAAAGCTTGTCTGAAAACACGCTTATAACCTATCCACCGGTGGAGAATTCAAACAAATTCATCACTTTACTTATTGAATAAAACTGAAGAGCAACTGAACAGCACTCACTACTGATGTCTAGATGGTCGGCCAATGAGGCGGCTTTGTACTACAATCAGGTTAACCAACTCACAGAGAACACAAAAAAGTCTAATAATAATAATAATAATAGCATGAGCAGTTCATTTATTTATTCAAAAAACAAAAAGAAAAAAAGATCAGGATCAATAGTAGAAAAGAAAGAAAAAAAGGCAACAACGATGAATCAATCCAATCACACGGATTCGTTAAATACAAGTGAACCTACCCCCTTAAAATTTGTAATAGCAGTTTACGTATCACTAGCTAGCTGGCAAAGACGAAAGAAATCATTGTCAGTCAGTCAGTGAAAATTCGCCGTGGTAGGTATTTTTATTTAAGTAGTGAGAAAGGGAGCAGGTAACGACTACCACAATCACAGTCGACCATAATAACAATAATAATAATGACAGTAACAAATAACCTAAAAATAAATCTATACAACTATACAAAATAAGTAGTCTCTGCGCTGTTTACACGTTTGTGACAATGTACTTTATCAACACACCGGAGTAACTATTCACAATAATAAATAATAATAACAATAATAATAATAATAGTGGTAAATAACATATCAAAATCACCGTTGTGATAGCCGACATATCCGATGATGTTTAGATAATTCAAGTTCAGTGAAAAATAATTCAGAACAATAATGACACTCAATCAAATTATTAGGATGCTTTCGTAGATAATGTGATTTCAGTGTACAATTCTGTGCTGATGAATAACCACACTCCCTACAGCTATACGGTCTTTCTCCAGTATGTATACGTATATGTACAGTTAAATGACTTTTCTCTACAGTTGTATAATCACAGTAGGTACAACGATAAGGCTTTTCTTTAGTATGTTGTACCATAATATGCTTACGTAAGTGTACATTTTGACGAAATGATGTACCGCATTCACGGCATATATAACGTCTTGGTTGTGGTGGTGCTGGTGGCGCCAGTGGCAGCGTCGGTTGTCGTTGAGAAGGATCAGAATAATACCTATTGACAGTATCATTATTATTATTATTACTATTGCTATTATTAATACTGTTATTATTATTATTATTGGGATAAGTGACAGCATTTGTTTGTACAATTTTAGGCCATTGTACAGTTAAATTCTCCAGGGATGTACTCCTCTGTTGATGATCCTTAGAAGAGACTATAATATTCGACGACGACGAAGAGGAAGAAGAGGAGGCGGAAATCGGTTCCGTTCGAAGATCTAAATCTAGGCTAGATGAAAGACCAGTTAGTGTGACTGAATGATTGCCATTATCATTATTATCTGAATTCATAGGATTAGTATTATTATTCTGGACAGCCGTGTGCTTATCATCCTGTCTACAAGTATCACTATATCGTTTAAGTATATCAGCCATTGATTCTGTTTGAAAATTTTCATACAACTCGTTTTTTTGATGGATCTCTGATGATGATGACGACGACAACGATGATGCTGAGGAGAAGGATTGGAAAGGTGATAATCCTGATGGTGAAATTGGTGTTGTTGTAGTTGGTGGTAGTGGTGGTGGGAGTGGTGGTGTTTCCTGAGATGGACTTGATGGTGTCGGCGTTGGTGTTGCTGCTAACAGCATTGCTAAATCTGCATAATCTGAATAACTGAATTCTGGATCAAAATCAGTCTGTACTTCACACGATTGACTAGTGATCAGCTTTTTCGGTGAACAAGGACAACAGGTTAACATTTTATTTAGTGGTGTTGTTTTAAGACCAGAATTACCAGTATTACTATTACTATTGTCATTATTAGTAGTAGTGGTAGTTGAATTTCCCTCTTTACTCACTTGACTACAATAAACTGGTAAAGATGTCGACGTGGTATTATTACAGCAGACAACTTTACGCATACAACAACTGACTACAGCTGTCCCAGTACAACTCGATGTATTCCCGGCTAGTACTTCTTCTTCTTCGCCGCCGCCGCCGCCTGTATTCATCAACCCATTGGTACAACTTGTCGGTTTACAGACAATTGATCGTGTACAACAATAATCACTGACAAAAACATTTGAATTCAATGAATTATTATTATTGTTACTATTCATGATCGGATTACTACTATATGGACAGATATCGGTTGACAAATTTGTACAACATGATGATGGTAAACGCTGGACAACTACTTCTTTTAAGCTGGTACACGTTAGATTAGTTAACTTTCTGCATGGGATAGTTGGTTCATTCATACAACAATTGAAGTATTTACGCTTACGATGAGGGATATAACGTTGGTGTTGTTGTTGTTTAATTCCAATTAAATGTGTTTGTGTTGATGCACTGTTAGTCTGGGCGCTGCTGGAGGTATCTACACGACTAGTAGTAATACTAAGACTGTCATTATTATTATCGCTGTTATGACTACTGATAGCAGGATTAGTAGTAGCGGTCGTAGTTGTAGTAGTCATATTAACATTACTCATCTCATGAACAGCAGTCGTTGCTGTTGTTGTTGCTGCTATCGTTGTCACTGGATTGGAATTACAATTGTTTGCCTCCTTTGAAAATTCATCTTCACCAGTATGTTCCAATATGACATCAACATCATCATCACTCAACTCTTCAGAATCAGAACATGATAATTTCATCCGCTGTTGTTGTTCTCCTTCTTCTTGTCGTTGTTGCTGATGTTCTTCGCCTACTTCTTCTTCCGTCACTTCCTCATCATCATCATCATCATCATCATCATCCGAAGAAGAAGAAAGTGATGTTCCACAAGAACTAACAAATATTAACTGATGTTCAATTTGTATATGCATTAAAAACCGCCAAGGTGTAGTAAACTGACGTAAACACTGGACACATTTTAAAATTCCGGTAAATACATCATTCTCTGATTCGTGTTTATTATCGTTATTATTATTAGCAGCAGTATTAGCATTGTGGTCTTCATTACATCCATTAATATTCTTATTTGTAATATCACTCAATGGTGGAGAATTACAAGGTAGTAGAGGTTTTGCCGGTGTTGTCAATGACAGAGTTGATGATTGTCGTTTACGCTTGTTCGAAGGATGACTGGATTCTGTAAGACAACTTGCTTTTTTATGCTCAATAAACATACTGATATCAGAGAGACGAAATGTAACAAAACATGTCCCACAAGATAAATAGTCAACTGTCATCTTTTTTTCGCCTTTCTATCTCTCTCTCTCTTTCTCTATTGCCGATTTCTTCTTGTCCACAGTTGGGCTGATAAATCAGTGTACACACTTGTATGATGTCTGTTGTTTATTTTCTTTCTGGTGTTATTTAAGTGTGATAAATAGTTCTGTTCTCTCCAAAAATTCCGCAATAAAACTAAAAGTTTCAATTACAAAAAACAAACATTTAAAAGAAGTAAATACATAGCAAAATACATCTTATTTGTTAATATTACTTATTGCCAACCGTTCCCAGTGGAACATAAGGCTTCAAGGCTCACAATTCAAGTTTCAATAGCAATAGCAGTCCCACGCAAAACCTTCTCATTTTACCGAACTTACTACGGGCTTAGCAAGGTTTAGGTGTGCGCATCAGGCAGGATTTGAACCCCACCAAACCACGTAACGTAAGTGGTTGGCAGGCATTATACCGTTGGACCACCAATGCAGAGTGAAATACATACACATACACACGTACATCAATCAATATATGAAAATAAACCATAGTGTCTTCAGTTAAATCTTAAACTGACTGGTTTCAACGTAGAACTTTGCACCGATGTGCAGTAGTTCAAGTCGCCACACTCCACGTAGCACACAAAGCAAGAGGAGAAGGTAAATAGGGACAGTAAACAGAGAAATGAGGCAAAAAGAATAGTAATATGGAAGAACCATGTAGTTTTATTGCATATTATAAGTCACAAGGAGTGGATGCATCTGCGCCAGACATTGAGAACGATTTTGAGCGATATCACCAATTGTCTTCAACCTCCATTGGTTCTTTACCGTCCCGAGGACCCCAACCAGGAAGTCTACACCTTCCTACGTGGCTTAGATTAACTGTTGTAGATTTCATTGACTGATGAAGCCATGTTTTAGTTTGACCACCGCTAGCTCTTTTCCAGCCTGACCCTATTCCAGCTAACATTGCCCATTGTCGAGGAAGGCGATGGCTAGACATACGTAACACATGTCCTAAGCATCTTAGTCGATGTAACTTCACAACCTCGTTGTCGATTCATTCCCCCTTCTTACCTAGCACTCGACCGACGCCTAACCTTAATATTACTCACTCTATTATACCACTTCACACTGGAGATAGAACGCAGGCACCTATGACCAAAGACAGCTAGTCGGCCTTTTCATGTCTTCCACTTTTAATGGCCATGTCTTACTCACAGCCATATGGGAGACAGGTTTTAATATACCTAAATAACTTTACAAATATAAACTAATTATGGTGATTTGTCAATAAGATGATAAGATAGTTCATATTAATTGAGCAATTAGTCACAGTAATAGTAATAATAATGATTCCGTTGAAAACAAACATGAGAAAATGTAGTAATTTATGATAACAAGCATATTGAAAAACAGCATGATTAAACAAACAATTATTCAGACAGATGTAGCCAGTAAGACTACGAAAAGTAAGTTGTACTATATATTAAGGGAAGTAAAAAAAAATGTTTTAATGAAGGCGCAATAACACTAAAGGTTGATAAGACATAGATTACATACATATATATACATAAGGAGTGCTAGTATAGTCATTTCATTATGCCTTAACTAACCAAGGGAGAAATAACATATGTACGAATTTCTTCTGAATGCATATTTTAGGCTTATTAGTTAGAATGCCAATCATCTCAGCTTTATGTAATAGATGAAAAGAAGTTCATTGAAAGAGTTTGATGGAAGGCAGTGAATCGACTCAGTGGCACAGTGGTTAGGACTCTCGCTGACCTTGCACATGGTCCGGGGTTCGAGCCCTCGCCGACGCACACTTGATATCTATGGTCGGCCTGCGAAATTTGGGCTACCGATATCCACGCTGAAAACTCCATACTTCTACCAAAAAAGTACGGTGTGGGGGTCAAGCTGTAATCAAAAAAAATAAATAAAAAAAAATTTTAAAAAATGTTTTTGGTTTCTTTCACTGAATAACTATTGTCAACTCTAAGTGAGACAAAACAAAATTTCAGAAGGTTAATGTCTGTTCTTTACCTATCTATTATTTGTCTTCTTTAGTTCCTAGTGCCTGGCGTGTAATATCATTTGATGGTTTTCACAGAGTATGGCCAATCCACCTCTATTTCTTCCTGATTATTCGTTGCACAATTGGTTCCTGGTTGGTTCGTTCCCGGAGATCCCTGTTGCTGATATTTTCTAGCCATCTGATCTTGAGTAGCATAGAGCGAATACAGTTGTTGATGAAGTGCCCTTCGTGACGCGCCAAGTCTTTGATCCGTATAGTAGCATTGACTTCATATTGAAGTTGAAAGATAGCAGTTATTGGACCTCGAGTTTGAACCAATCTAATCCAATTGGACTTTTTGCACAGTACAGACAGCATCATCTGTCTTTATATGTCAGATATACTTTAAAGTCTAGTACATAAATCTGCATATGACTTCTAATATGCATTTTATCATTATTATCATCACCATTTTAGTGAAAAATAAACGCTTCAAGGAAGACAAACACATACTAACAACATGGAGAATGCATTAACGGTAGGTGAAACGGAAATTTAAATCTACATAGAGTTTGAATCAGCAAATTGACTGTTTGATAAATCAATATAAAAGTTTTCACGAAGACTCATCAATTCCACTGCCATACTGACAGCTGACTAAAGACAGTTACAAGCATAGCGTAAGTTCCTCACACCGTTTAAGAAGTTGTGTGATGGGCTGCGTTTAATAAGGATATGGTGGCAGTCAGAAGTCACCATTCGATAACCGTTATCTATAATACCTTTCCATGAATTAATCAGGCTTGCCTGAGAAACATACTCTCCGGAAAATTGTAGTAACCGAAATCATATCCAAGAAGGATGGGGTTTTAGAAACTTCTCAGGAGAGACAACTAAAACATTGGGCGGAAGACTACGGGAAGCAGTTCAGCCGACTTACATCTGCATTGTGACTACTGCTCGAGTTAATAGGATCCTAGCAACATTTACCGTACATCTTCACACCATCAAACCACTCTCTAGTTGGGGTGTAAACCAGAGTCTTCCGACTGTAGCTGAGGTGTCAGTAGTTACTTCTGACCTAAAACGAAGCGTAGCGGCTGAATCTGATGGTATGACTCTAAAGGTCACTAAGGATTACGGTGGCGAATTACTGACGTTACCTAAAATACTAGCCAGTGTACGGGATTCCGATGTAGTGCTATAGGAATGATATGGGTCGTTGGTCATCCCAGTTTATAAAAGAAGAGGAGTTGGCGATACTAGCCAGTTACCAGAATGAAATAAGTGGAGAGGGATTCGAACCCATAACCCATTGGTTGAAAATTTGGCTCTTAAGCCACTGAACTACATTTTAATGTGATGCCCTAACATTTCCCTTCACTCCTTTTAATTGTAAGTATTCGAAGGCTGGTAACTAGAACTTAGACGTTAGTTAGAAGAACACCAAAAGGAGGAGAGAAATGGTGAAACTATTGACTTGGAACTAGGGTTTTGATATCCCTTAAGTCCAATCCCTATAACTATTAATTCGGTATGAACTATTATAATGACTGACTGGCTTCAACATAGAACTTTGCACAGAAGTACAGCAGTTCAACTTGTCACACTCCATCTAACACACAAAGGAAAATAAAAGAGAACAAAAAAGAGATTCGAAAAAACGATGACAAGCAGAAATGTGAGGGGAAAATAATAGTAACAGGGAAAGACAAGAGGGTTTTATTGATTTTGGGAGATCACAAAGAGTGAAATGCATATGTGCCAGCTACTGAGGACAATTTCGAGCCAAATCACCAATTGTCTACAGCCACTGATTCTTAGAATCCCGAGGATCGCAACCAGACAGTCTACATCTTCCCGACTGATAGCTGCTAACTTCCCTTGTTGGTCGGGCTTGCAGATCACAATGACCCAACGAGCTACACTGGCTGGAACTATTGTTCCCTGTAGGTCCTACCACGCCAAGAAGGTTGTTAGGTTAGCGATTAGACTAAAAGCAGTTGCCGGCTTAGTGTAGGATTTTTACACTTTACTGGGGATCTGTGGGCAAAGTCGTACTGCTGGGGAACAGGGGTGTAACAGTAGCAAGGTGTTTCCCTCAGAAGATCAGCATAGCAGCCAGCTATGTTGTCTCTCCGCTCTAGAGAGAAGGGGTCAGAAAAGGTTGACCACAACAACTGTACCTCCTGAAATACCCTAAGGTGGTCTGTAACCAGCGGTAAGTTACTAATACGGAACCAAATCAAGAAGTCAGTTCAGAGAGGCCGTATGTGACCGGCCTCAAGCAGTTGTCCCATGGGCTCTGTGTTCACACAACACTAACTCTTTCTGTTTCAGATGCCCCAAGAAAAAAACAACTTCTACGGTGTAGGTAGCCGGGAAGTAACAACCGCCCACACACTTCCAAAAGCACACGAAGCCCTCCTGATTATCATCCTTTTTTATCCCCTGTCTACACCTCCCTACATGGCTCAAACCAACATTCAAGAATTTCATGAACTAATTCCATGTTTTGGTTTGACCACGCTCTTTTTCATAATTATCATAACCTTCCATAAAACCTCGAAGATAGCGAATAAGGCTTCCATGCAGCAAACTATACAAACACGGCTACATGAGGGTGTTACCAAAAGATGAACAAAATCTCTTCACTAATGATAGCATCAAGGGGTGCAGCGTTTTTTTAACAATATGTTTCCAGTCTGTTCGTCATCAGTTATCAACATTATTTTCTATATCATTCCCAGTTTGTCCTTTTTTAATCCACACTCAGGTTGTCTTTGATAATCATTATCATAAAGCCTCAGGTGAGTCATTCAAAACCTTAACCTCTATTACTACAGCAAACTACAGACGACGCTATCATGTTATCTGTTATTGAATGTTCCTCAAGTACCTCAGGAAATAAAAATTTGATGATGACTCCCAGAAAAACTAGCAAAAATATTAAATTCGCACATCTACTACATCGCAGACATATACTCGATCCGTAACATGGTCCGTACTCGCCGCGTCGGTGGCACCGTGGTTAGGACTCTCACCGACCATGCACATGGTCTGGGGTTCGATCCCCTGACAATGCATAACTGATATTATCAGTGACCAGTCTGCGAAATTTGGGCCATCGATATCACATGCCGAAAATTCCATACATGTACCAAAAATACGGTGTGGAATCAGGCTATAATCAAAAAATAATAAACGTTCCATTTCAGAGGATGATTCACTGCTGATACTCAGGAATGATCAACTGATGCGAACATTGTTTTTTTAGGTATATAGGCATCTCAAAAGAACAGGTCGACAAGGAGTATTCTTTTTGTAATTTATCCTCAGAGTTGTACAGCAATAATGCTCTAAAATGTTATGGAAGTTTCGATAAATGTCAACTGTTAGTACCATACGATAGCAAAGCATATAAATTATCCCGTAAAAAGAAATTAAGAAATTTGATTAGGCGGATTCAAGTTATCTAAAATAAAACACCGAATGAGGAAGGCTGCCCTGTAATGACTAACATTAAAACTGTAAGTGCCTGGAAACAGGAATATTGTACATCAGAGCACCAGGATCATATCAAGTAAAAATTATATTTTACATATAGCAGTTGAAAAAGGAAGAAGGAATGAAGCCAAATCGCAAATGTTAAAGATACATAAGGCCATGTTAGTAAAATTGGTTGAACAAACCTCTTCTCAATATGCAATTCAAAATTATCCTCTTTGTATAATACGAACTCCCACTACAGACAGATGTAGTCGGAAACTTTCTGGACGTGTTAGCCTTACCTTGTACGTAACTTTGAGAGTCCTATTGGTGTTGAATGACTAACTACTGCAAGATTACACTATTCAAAACCAATAACATGATGTTCTTATTTTTTGTTCACAGCTTGATTCCACACTGTATTTTTGGTACAGATATGGAATTTTTAGCATGTGATATCGGTAGCCCAAATTTTGCAGGCCGACCATAAATATGAGGTGTGCGTCGGCAGAGGATCAAACTCCCAGTTATGGAGCTTATGCATTTACTTAGCAGGTTTTTCAAAGAGAAAAATTCAACAAGCAAAATATTCAAGGGAAATTCATCTCTTCTATAAAAACCAGGTGCTTGAAAGAGTATATAATTGCATGTTTCCAATAAATTTTGATTTTAAATATAAGAAAACAAAAACAACATTCGGTATGAGAGTACTTTTAGAATTTCATGTATTCATGAAATAAATTTTGTGATTTACTGTAAGCTATTGAAGTAATAGAGAAAATTTGTAGCTCAGGTGGATGCTTTACATTTAATAGTGTTCTCTATTGCCTATATTGTCTATATCCGACAGAACAATTTTTGATTCAATTTATCAAAGCCCTACATCAATAATGCCGCTTATTGGTACGAAACAAAATGAAACTTTTCGGAACTCCAGACTGAGAAAACATTTCATAAAAAGAATTTCCTGTTAAAATAATACACATTCATGAGTATATCCCAAATGTTTTACACCTTTACCTACCCCTTGTGCCTGAAATGCTCCGCAACACTTCCACTATGGTCTTAAGACAGTTCATCACAGTCTGTATGCAACTACCATATCACTCAAACCAGATGGTTTCGTATTGAGAACTGAGTTTAGAAGTATGTTCCTAATGACTAACTGTAAACAAAAATTGAGATTCAATGGGGTCTCATGAGTTCTGGAGTGAAAACTGTCGTTTAAGGACGTCTAATGGAAGTCAGAAGTATAACAGGAATTACAGTTGGATTTTATGGCAGTCTTATGGTCAAAATTTGTATTACAAGTACTCACTGAAGAAATAAGAATGTAAGAACGTCCTTTATGCCTTTGAATATGTATGAGTTGGACATAACTCATTTGCTCACACAGGTTAACCTAAAGTCGCGCAGAACTTCACTCCTAGGCTCAACTATATACCTTAGGATTTTAAAATTTCAACACAACTGATATCGAGGAATCGACTTGGAAATAAGAAAGCACAATACATAGACTTCTAAAACTAACTCAATTAAGAATATTCTTTTTGTAACTCCACTTCAAAGCCCCAAAGTTATATATATATATATATATATATATATATATATATATATATATATATATATATATATATATATAGTCACATCAGTATTGTTCATACTATATAAGACTTTCATTAACCAAAGACAACTTCAAAATAACTACTAAGACTAACATTATTCAAACCAAAAGTGCAAATCCAGCCATACGGCAGGAAACTTACAACGAAGCCACTAGAGCAAAAACAGATGAGGCCTAGGAGACCTTGAGGGGCCGGATGAAGGCCGCTGATTAACCTTCAACTATACAGGTAATAAACAATATACTTACTCAGATTTTCCACTAGTGATTCATAACCTGAAGTCTACATGACTTTTTAGGAATATGTTGTTTTCTATCGCATTGTTTTAGTAAGTCACTTGTGGAAGCTGACAATACTTCTTATACGAATCAGTATAAGAATAAGAGCAATGCAAATTTTACTAGGCCAATTTCGGTAGCTTAACGGTATTTGGTGGCTTTCTGTATGGTCGATCTTACAACTTTTTCGCCCTTTAGCAGTCACCATCCTTATTTCTAGTTAATGTCAACTAGTAAACCACCTTATTATTATTGCTCCCTTGGGTTCGTAGTGGAACATAGGGCTTCAACTGCACGTCTCCATTTGCTTCTGTCTTCTGCTGTACTTTTCGCCTGCAACCATGTTAGTCCATACTCTTTCAACTCCTTTTCACACGATCTCCTCCATGTCACCCTTGCACCGACGTCCCACACGCCGCTTCCCTTTCGGGTTCCACTCGAGGGCTTGACGCGCGATATCACCCAGCGGTCTCTTCAGCGAGTGTCCGATCCATTTCCACTTTCTCCTGCATATTTGTTGGGCGATTGGTTCTTGCTTTGTTTGTTCCCATAATTCCTTGTTGGTGATTCTTTCCGGCCCGGCCATCTAATCTTTAGTATAGAGCCAGCGAAGACAGTTGTTGATAACGGGGCGAAGTTAAACTTTCGACACCACTAACTACCAATCAGCGAATTATCCAATGAGATTCACGAGCGATGTCGAATTATCCAATGAGGTTCACGAACGCAGTTCAATGTTCTATAGCGCTTGATTCATTTCTAATGCGTGACCTTACAAAGCTATTGTTGCAATTCGAGGAGGTTAGCGTTTTCCAGTATTTCCTGGATTTGAGTTGCGCCGGAAAGAGCGAATTTGTTTGTGTGGTGGTATCATGACTTTAAAAAGCTATACCAAATCAACTGATGGGTTTGTTCATCGTTGTGCTATATGTTTGAGAGTAAGCTGATAATTTTAATATTTCGTAGGAACATTTTTCGGTAGGTCGCTTCTCTCCCTAAGGATAGCAGATAGAAAAGCAACTACTCTTATACCTATTATTACCAGACTTGTTAAGCGGGGGTCAATTATACACACCGACAAGTGGAAAGGCTACAATTCACTGTCATCTCTGGGATATATTCATCATATAGTCAACCATTCAAGTGATTTTGTGGATCCCGTTACGAGGACACATACAAATTCTATTGAAGGATTTTGGGGTAGGTTGAAAAATAGGATAAGGGCTATAAATGGATCTCATATATGGTCATTTGGATGAATATATGTACAGGATATGGTGTAACTTCTCCATT